ATTGTGTCATGATTCTTTTCACCTGTTTGCAGTTCCTCCGGTGATTAGATTTGCTGCTGTGTCATTGTTTCAGCGCATCCAGTCTCGTCGTTGCTATACACGTTTCTTTGCCATGCTTCCTCGTTCCCTGTTTTTGTTTTTTTCTAGTTTGACTCCCTGATTAGGATCTGTGTCTGTGTTTCCGTACTTTTTTTGGGTATTCCTGTGATGATCAAGCAGCTTCGCATGAGTATGAGTGATGTAGTAAATATCAGCATGGCTGTAGTTCGGCTGTAGGCATGAGGCCGCAGGTAATCCCAGGTAATCCCAAGTAATCCCAGGTAATCCCAGGTGTGCTGATATTCAGTACCGCAGCACGATTGTGAGTGTGATATTCGCTTTTATCCAGCAGTTCTATAAACAAGAAATTAATATGAAGTAACTGACATTTCAGACACAGTTTGGCCAAACATTTAGTTTAGTTTTTTTTAGTTTAGAGTGTTGTGTGTTGCCAAGCCATCGCCCTGACTGATTGAGAGACTGTAGTAAATGTAGTAACGGTTTTGATGTAAAAAACTATTGTTACAATTGGAATTTTTTACGTAGCGAACACACACAAGCGGAGTGCTACACACAGTGAAATGTTCCAGTGCTGTTATAGGAAATATCAGCACTCTTGGAATGGTGTAATCAATCAAATCCAATCAAATCGGAGCAAAACATTTTTTGTTTCTGAGTTCAGACAGAATTTTGTATTTTACTCATGGTTAGCTATTTGGTTTAATGTCACACTGCACATAATAAATATATATATATATATAATAAACCCTCAAAAAATAGAGCTCTCTTTCTCTCTGTCTCTGATGATAATGTCATATTTTCTTTATATAACAATGCACCAGAAACCAAACACTAAACACCAGCTGATTTGCGCTCTGGTCTTTATCTAGCATTGAGCTACAGCACTGGAACGTTTTTATGTGATTGTTAAGTGAGGGCAAATTGGCAGCAATGCGAGCAATGAAATTACAAACTAAAACCAAAAGCCACAGATAATAAAACTAAACTGCCAATGAACCACAATGAAATTGAAAAAAAAACAACAACCTTGTGACTGGCAGTGACGTTTCTGTCTTCCTGAGCTGCTGTTTAATTCTCGATGATCCACATCCTTACCAAACCTGAGTCACTTTATGAGTGTAGCTAAATAAGGCTACGTCTTCAGATAAAGCCGGTGATTCAGACCGGCTCTTTAACAGACTGTGTGATGGCGTGTGCGATGTGCTCCATGTCAGATTATACGATGACGATCCTCTAATGACAGACCTGCGATTCAGGAAAATGAACCCTTTGCTTTATAGCTTCCACACTCAAGTGCAGGTATAGCTTTACAAATGTTCTACATAAAATCACCATATTTCTGCTCCAGATTCCACTGAACACTTTAGCTTGTTTAAGATTTTATACACATATATATATATATATATATATATATATATATATATATATATATTTTTTTTTTTTGTTAAAGAAAGCTCTCTGAAAATTTAATCAACAATTTCTAACACGGCCAGAATTTTGTCATCATCGATCTCAACTCACGACCTACTAATTCTTTTACACTGTGAGACCCATACATATGGAATTTCTTAATTTCAGTTCATAACCATAATTCTCATTTCTCTTCACTCTCTCTTTCTCTCTCTCTCTCTCTCTCTCTCTCTTTCTTTCCAGTGAAGAGACAATGATATATCCAAACAATTAGTTTGGCGAGAATGTCGTTTGGCCTGCACTGCCGCTAATGCAACTATCAGAGAGAAAGTGAATTGCCCTGCCATCTAAAGCCCTGCATCATCTAAAGTACCTCTCTCTCTATCTCTCTCTCTCTCTCCATGTCTCTATATCCCACTATTTGTTTTAACCACTGGTCTTGTCTTTCTGCTTTTCCCCCTTTTTGGTACAGAAACTTTTTTGGCTGAGACCTTCAGTGAGTGTGTCACTAACACAAGAGCCATTCATTCTTCTTCTTGTCCTCTCAGAGAGAGAGAGAGATGGGGGAAAATATTTTCACCAGATGATAATGACCTGTTGTTTGGAAGCCGATAGGGAGAGAAAGAGAGTGAGAGAGAGATCAAGAAAGAGATTAGAAAAAGTTGGAAGAACTAAGAGAAAGCGGTGAGGGATGTTTATGAGGGATAATAAGAACAGAGAAAGAGAGAGATACAAAGAAAGAAAGGAACTAAGAGTATTGAGAAAAAGGTGAGAAGGTGAGAGAGAGCTATATTAGCAGGAGAAAGAGAGAGAGCTATATTAAAAGCAGAGAGAGAGAGAGAGAGAGAGAGAGAGAGACCATGCCCACTCAATACCCTGGCATAGCATGCCCACTGCCCCACAGAAAACACCCAACACCTCCAAAATCTGGTGCCCAAAAACAAGGTTTTTCACCAAGTCCTCTGTAAAAATGTCCTAAAAATGCTGCATAACCCAAACAGGTACAAATGATTTAAGAGCAGAACAGGAGCGAGTTGGAACAGACACTTTCCCCAATGCAAAAATCATAATATCCTCCCTCCTACCACACAAAGTCTTCCACAGCACCACCATACAGAAAGTCAGTGCACATATTTCCAGAGGATGAGCTCTCATCCCTGACATGCACCTGACTCACCACACCAGCATTACACCCCATCACCTGGATGACCACAGGCACCTGAACAAACATGGTGTCAAGGAGTTTGCCAGGACACTAAAGGACGTGGCAATGGCCAAACACACACACACACACACACACACAGCAGGCCAACGCAGAGGAGAATCTCCAAAACTACAGTGAGACCACTACAGCTACAGCACACCCACCAGGAGACCACCAGCATGCCCACTCCTACAAAAAGCACAGACAGGACCCCACCTACACCAGCAAAGCCTACCTCAACCTCCTAAGAGCTCCCAACTGCCCGGACCAGCACCAGCCAGACTAGCACCTCGACACCCTCCAGTCCCACCAACCCCACCGGCTCACCAGCACCAGCTAAAGCGTACAGTGACAGCAGCGCCACGGCCCCTCCCTCAAACCCCACAACCACAACACAGCTATGCTGAAGCCCTCAGAGGACCAGAACATGCCAACGAGATGGGTGAGATCAAATCCAGCAGTACATCTGCAACAGACTGCATACGAATGCATAGACATACAAACGTAGACAAATGAAAATAAGTCTACACTACACTCTCAATGAATGTAATGTAAAAGATTTATGTGAAGTAAGATTTATGTAAACTGTTACGCAACATTGTTTTTTTTTTCCTGGTTTATCTTATTATCGCTAAACACAACATCACACGGATCTATCCCTCTATACCATATACGTCTCCTTCAGGGTCTCCATACTAGTCTGAAAACAAGTTTGCAGAGTTAGACAGTTAGAGAGAGAGAGAGAGAGAGAGAGAGAGAGAGAGAGAGAGAGAGGCGCCATTTCCTGGCTCAGGGAAATGTACTCATCTGTGGAGACCTGAACGCCAGAACAGGAACACGACCTGACACAATGTCATGGTCCTGGTCTGTACATCGTCAACAGAAGGATACGAGGGGACTCTTTAGGAAGATACACATTTTGCTCACTTCTTGCGAACAGTACATCAGATTACACAATAACAGATTTGGACCTTTTCTCTCTCACTGCAATGACTGTTAAACTACTAACCCCTCTGTCTGATCACAGCCAGCAGCATAACCGCAGCAAGATCACATCAACGAAAAGCTCGAGGAACCGGAATCGGCCATTAAAGATAATCAAAACCCTTTAGACTTCTTGATTAGCGAGTGGTAACTAAAAGACAAAATTAACAAACTGAAGCCAAAGAAAGTATCAGGACTTGACAGGATCCTAAACAAAACGATTAAACATGCTAGCTCTCAATTTCAGTTGGTCATTTTAAAACTCTTTGATTTGGTTCTGAGTGTAAGTTTGGAATCAAGGTCTAATAACAACAATCTATAAAACTCGAAATCAGTTCGATCCTAATAATTACTAAGGCATTTGTGTGAGCAGTAATCTGTGGAAAATAATAAAATGCGCAGTATAACAAACTCAAGCTTTTCAGACTTCCTTACTGAGCACAATATCTTGAGCACAACTCAGATTGGTTATTTACGAAATTACATTTGCAACCCACACACCCTCACTGAAAAATATGTTGTTCAAAATGAATTTAAAATATTTGCTTGTTTTATTGTATTCCAAAAGGTTTCTGACTTCAATTGGCATCAAGAATTGTTTTTTTATAAAATGCTGGAAAGTGGTGCAAATCATATGATTCCATTAAATCTATGCGCACAGGAAACAAGTGCAGAATAAGAATTAGCGGGAAACAAGCAGATTTAATCTATCAGGAGCATTGAGTGAGACAGGGCCGCTGTTTAAGTCTAACGCTATATTTATATATTAATGAATTGGCCTCCATTTTAGAGAGGTCTGCAGCATAACCTGGACCTGCGACCTGCTGCAGCAGTACTGTCAGACCTGGGCCTGACAGTCAACCTCAAAAAGACTAAAATTATCATATTATTAAAAAAAAAGATCTAACTGTCAGTGAACAAAACACACATTTAGGTTTAATACACATGAAATTCCAAAAATGATACTTACTTCAGACTAAAGATGAGCTCTTCAGGAAACTTCAACCTGGCGGTGGGTGAACTGAGAGAAAAACCACGCAGAGCTTTCGACGCCGTAAAACCGCAAACATCTGTAGAAATTCCAATTAGTTTGGATCAGTGATTGGACCGATTGCCCTGTACGTCAGTGAAGTGCGGGGTTCGCTTACACATCTCCAATTTGTCAAATGGGACAGACATCCAATTGAGACCCTGCATGAGGAGTTCCGCATCTGCGGAATCATTTTTTATGCAGCATTTGGCAGACACCCTTATCCAGGGTGATTTATTTATCATTTATCTCATTTACACAACAGAGCAGTTGAGAGTTAAAGGCCTTGCTCAAGGCCCATCAGTGGCAGAGTGGCAGTGCAGGGACTTGAACTCACAACCGTATGATCAGCAGTCCAACAGCTTAACCACTGAACTACCACTGTCGTCTTAAATGGTGCACAGAAACACGAGAAACACCGCATGTGGGGCAGAAATAGGCCGATATCCATGAATTATAAAAATACAAAAAAAGGGCAATCAAAGTTTGGAAACACCTAACAATTTAACCACAGCATGTACATTTGTTTCTATCAATTTATTTCTGTTGTTATTTTTCTGATTTGTTCCCAAAGTCTGTATATATATATATATATATATATATATATATATATATATATATATATAGAGAGAGAGAGAGAGAGAGAGAGAGCAAAAGAGGGGGGAGATTGATAAAGAGAGAGATAGCTGTATTGGAAGAAAAGGAAGTGAGAGAAATTTGAAGAACAGAGAGAGAGATAGAGAGAGAGGTTATTAATCTAATTTGATCAGCGTTACGTTTTGTTTACTTTCACACATATTGAACAGGTATCAGTATCACGTGTGTTTACTGTGTGTTTAGCGTGTTTTAACGTGTACACAGTCGGAGGCTTCTCTCCTGTTCTCTGTAGCCGCAGCCTCACACATCGACATGTGAACGTGGGTGAGAACATCTCAGCACGAGTGTGAACGAGGACAAGTGAACGTGTGTGTGTGTGAGTGTGTGTGTGTGTGTGTGTGTGTGTACACGTCGTTTTCTTTCTCCACCATCTCTCTCTGTACCTCTGGAAGCAGGAAGTGATACATTCTCTCTCTCAGACTGATTTAAGTGGCTGCTATTTGACGCTTGTCCTTAAGGTTTAGCTCAGAGCTCCACTTCTCTTCCTCCTCCTCTTCTCTCACTCCATCTTTCTCCTCCATGATGGAGGTTGCAGAGATTTGTGTGTGTGTGTGTGTGTGTGTGTGTTTGTGTGTGTGTAGTCATATTATGAAAAGAGAACGTGGTATGTGGAGTGTGTTACATGTGTGACATTGGTCACATACACAACTTGTTATTTATGCATGTTCAGGATTTCGTCCACATGATGTAAAAGAAGACGTGAATCATCAGACCAGACCACCTTCTTCCATTGCGCCGTGGTCCAGTTCTGATGCTCACGTGTCCATTGTAGGTGCTTTCGGCAGTGGACAGGGGTCAGCGTGGACACTCTGACCGGTGCGCAGCTACACTGCCCCATACACAGCAAGCTGCGATGCACTGTGTGTTCTGACATCTTTCTATCAGAGCCAGCTTTAACTTTTTCAGCAGTTGGTGCTACAGTAGCTCTTCTGTGGGATCGGACCAGACGGGTTGGCCTTCTCTCCCATGACCCTGTCACCGGTTCACCGGTTGTCCTTCCTTGGATCACTTTTGGTAGGTACTAACCACTGCATACCGGGAACACCCCACAAGACCTGCCGTTCTGGAGACTCGCTGACCCAGTCGTCTAGACATCACAATTTGGCTGTTGTCAAAGTCACGTTGTATCGGATCTTTATGCTTGCCCATTTTTCCTGCTTCCATCAACTTTGAGAACTGACTGTTCACTTGGTGCCTAATATATCCCACCCCTTGACAGATGCCACTGTAATGAGATAATCAACGTTATTCACATCAACCGTCAGTGGTTTTAATGTCAGGGCTGATGGGTGTCTATAGCACATTATAAAATAGAATATTACTCTAATAGTTTTGAAGTAGAGATCAAAACTGTCTATAATTTCTGAAACAGTGTTTAAACCAGTATGACACTTTTATGCCACTTTCACATTTGCCTTCAATGTATTTTATTTATTAATGCAGTTATTTTTCTCAGACAGCAGCACACGTTTTACAGTCGCTGCCGCCGTCATTTCTTTGGGCTCACAATGTTGAAAAATGTTGTTCATCGTTGATTCAGTCATCCTTTGTTTGTTTTTTTGTTTGTTTGCTTTTTATCCATTCATAGTTATATTTAATGTTGTGGAACAACATCTGGGAAACAGGTTCTCACTTACCTTATAGCAGCTATAAAGTCATTCTCTCACCAGCCTCTCTTTTTCTCTCTCTTGAAGTTAATAAGAAAAAAACCTGCACTAGTAGTATCAGTATCAGTATCAGTATTATTATTATTATTAGTATTAGTATTGACTTAACAATTCAGCAACTGAAAACCTCTTTCAAAATATTTCGCTACATTTGAGCATTTATTATAAATCTTATAAACCTGTAAATTTAAAACAGGTTCATGAGAAAGCCAAATGCTGGATAATGGTGATGTGAGGAAACAAGAAATTAAGGCGGGGCTTAGGATCAGTCAGTTAGGAAGAGATGGAGTATAAAATGGAATCTTTTTTTCTCTTTCTTGAAATTACAAAAGACAAAAAGTTACCTAGCAACCAGAAAGCGTAAACTCCTCTGCCCTGAAGATGTCGGAAAGCTCAAAGTCACAGCTTTACCTCTGACTGTTACAAAGCGCTGACACTGGAGACTCCTTCCATCAATGTTAAATAAACATGTCCTTGCAGAATACTTCATCATATTAATGAGTATATGAGTATAAGGCACGATCAACCTTTCTGATGACTGCGCCTTATGTTTTAATATTTTCTCCTTTTTCCTTTTAAAAATCATGAGGGGGCACAAATTTTTGTATTCAACTACACTGTATACTGTGTGTCTGTGTGTTTAGACAAACTAATTGTGTAAATATTTAAATCGTGCTTATTCGAGAGAGAGAGAGAGAGAGAGAGAGAGAGAGAGAGAGAGAGACAGAGAGAGAAAGTGTGTGTGTGTGTGTGTGTGTGTGTGTGTGTGTGTGTGCGTGTGTGTGTGTGTGTTTGATGTACTCCGGCTCTGACAGCCTGATCGGTTCTACACTTTAGGCTTCACCCACACAAAATGCCGTGTGCGTCTCTGTTATTTCCGTCAGGCAGAGCCAAGGTCAGCCGTCCCCTTTAATCCACATCCAACAGAAAAGCCAATTTCGGAGGCATCAGGACCCTCACGGCCCCCGGGGGCCGCCGTGCTAAACCGTTATGAACCCTGTCAGCTCCCTAATGGGAATGAGTCTCCGATTAAAATGCTGTTTTCTCTCCACCAAACTGCAATGAGAGACCTATTTTCTCCCTGCATACACACACACACACACACACACACTCACACACACAGCAGAGGAGGACGATGTCCTTGAGCTGCTCAGGATGTTCTGGCTGATGGACACTTGTTTTCTGGCCAAGTGTGAGAGAATGAGTTTAAATAGCTGTTATTACACAGAGCAACATCGGTGATTTGGAGCACAGCCGCTGAACACTCTCGTTAAAGATGCTAGCTGTTGGATAATTGTCGTGAAGTTCACGCTACTGCTGTCAGAATCCATTTCACTCTTCGAATATCATTTATATTTTTATTATATTATCATTATATTTTTTGGACCGCCAAAATAGGCTTTGTAAACCTTTTTTTTTTTTTTTTTAAGTAAAATGATCACATGATGCAGGAAAATGGCTCATATGAGCTACGGCATGCTTTATATTCATATGTTTTTCTAAAAATTCCTGTTCTGGACTGACCGGAGTGGATCCTGACGTGATCTGCGCTTGTAGTCCACCGGCCGTGATGTGTTGAGATGCTTTTCTGCTCATCACAGTTTTAAAGAGTTGTTATTTGAGTTACCTGTCAACTCAAACCAGTCTGCCCAGTGCATGATGATCAGGTGTACAGGTGTTCCTATTAAAGTGGCCGGTGAGTGTATGTGCAGCATTAGAGACCTACATAGGCAACGGTGTGCACGGTACTGAAGTAGCAGAGGTGCAAAAGTAATTGTCCCGTAAACAGTGCAAACAATTATATATCGGCAAGTACAGTATCTTAGATATAAGTGAATTCATCTAATATGAAGTATGTAGTCTTTTATGAGGTTTTGAAGGACAGAAAATTTTGAAAAAAGGAAGGAAGGAAGGAAGGAAAGAAAGAGTTAGAGGGAAAGAGAAAGACAGAAAATTAGAAACTGCAAGTAAGCAAGAAAGAAAGAAAGAAATATGAACATATGTTCAGTTTGGATAGCTGCATGATAATTGTAAACTAATTGTAATTAGTGTTTTCTTTCTTGCATGTATTTCTCCGTAAGTTTAGTTATTTTAAACAGACGTAAAATCACATGAATGCGGCTTGAAAACACAAACAGGATTAGCAATGAAACCTGCGTGTGGATCAGTGAAAACACGGAGAAATACTGAAAAACAACCCACACCTTCTGACCAATCGGATTCAAGCATTCGGTCGTGCTGTGGAACGACAGCTAACCGCTCGGAAACTGTAAGCGAGCATGCTTTACACGTCAAAACAAATATCAGGTCACGTGTTGTTTTTGTATTTAAGAGATGTTTGTGAACGACAAACGCCGGTGTTTTCCTTTTCCTCTGTTCCGGGGTTTTGCATGTGTGTGTACAAACAACGTCGAAAATTACAAACGAATACAGCGAGGGATCGTTTACACCTCTGCTCTTGTTTTCACATCTGTTTAAGTTTCATGTTAAGATGTGAGAAAAACAAAATCCTGGAAACACGATAATGAAGTAAAAGTGCTCTGAAATGTAACGAGGGAAAAATGGTTTAAGTGAAAGAACATCTTTAATTAAAAAAAACGCTTTGGTAATAAATCAGTTATAACCTAGTAATAAGCACATTACTAACTAAAGCTTAATGACGAATTCATCTTTAATTCATTTCATTTTAATTATTTGATGAATTAATCAGTTAGTGAATAATTGTAGTTTAAAATACATTTTATTATTAATATTTATAAATTATTTTTGTTTTATAAGTTCAAAGCATTTCTTTTTACAATATAGTAATATTTATGAATAATTTGCTGAATAATTATTTTTTATTGTTTAAGTTACAAATACATTTTGCACAAATTATTAATAGTTATTTATAATTTTATTTTTATTTATAGTTTTGATTTATGCAATATATTAATATTTATAAATAATAATTGAATGAATATTGTTTGTAGTTTTATAAATAAAAAAAACCTTGCATAGTATTAATGCATATTTGTGAACAAGTAATGAATCATTTGTTTTTATGAATAAAATATGTATGG